ACGAGTAAAATAAAAGTTGTAGTGTTTGGGAAAATAAGTGCTTTTTTAAAACCAAAAGCTGAGAAGTGCTTTTTTAAAAGTAGTTGCAAACCAACCCTAAATAGTGTAATTCACCCCCTTATATAGGATATCTGTCCGGCCATTACTATTTGAGCATATTTTTCATTAAGTGTAGTTTATCCATACCAAATTTCATATAAAAATTAAACCGTAGATAGTCAAATGATTTTGTGAAATGTATTGCGATGTTTTACTACACAGTTAGCTTCAAAAATTCATTTGACTGCATTCCCGATTAAATTTTTAGCTGAAATTTGATATGAGTAAACTAGATTTAATGAAGAAGATTCTCACAAAATTTCATCAAAAAGTTCCACCGAGAACCGTCCCAAATGGCGACGGCCGGACAGAGCCTCCTATATAAGGGGTGAATTACATTTTTAAGTTAGTTCGAGGGTCTATTTGACCCTTTAGCCTTGCTTAAGTCCCGTGTGGTATGTTGTGATCTCAGGTGATTGGCGTGATCTAAGATAAAAATTAATCCAAAGGCATACTTACACCAAAGTGACCAAACCATACTTACAACAAACGGCTATTTTCTTCTTTTCATCGTTTTAAATATCGAGCTTCTTGGGTTTGTACGGCATTTGAGGTTCCCGTAAATTTCAATTTTCTTTTGAGAATAATCAATTTGAGTGTTTTATTCGTTTGATGGAATTGGATGGGCAGTGTCGAATCACTATTATCATCCTAGAAGGTTGGAAAAGGGAGGTTTGTGTCTCTTTGATATGGAGCTTCAAGGGGTCATCAAGATTTTTGGCACACAAACTTCTATTACTCTATATTACATATTTTGAGATTTTTGGGGAGTTCGAATTTTGTTGTGAACTCTTTGGACTTAGTCCTAAGGTATTGAGACTTTTGAGCCACCATCTATTTCATCATTATTTTTAGGGAAGACTTAGATAAAATTGAGGTCTTTGAATCATCATCTTCTCCGATATTTGTTAATGATTTGGACGTTGTTGAAGCAAAGCCCCTCCAGATTATTGCTGCAGATACTCCTCTTACAGAGATAGAGGGGGTTATTGACATGTTTGCGGAATCAATTCGGCTCCAAGCAATGAAATTGAATGCACTCCTATATATTAGGAAACATATATCAAATTAAGAGTTGATGGAACGTTTAGTTGATCCAACTTGGAAGCCGAGTCATTCTAAGTTCAAACATAAGGTCTTTAAAGGAGTGAACGAATCGCTTCAAATCGGAAGCTTTTATCTAGGAGCTAGATGGATCATGTTTGGATTTTTTGGACTTTATTAATGTTTTCATTAACTTTGGAGGAGTTCTCCACTTTTACCTTTTGACTCTCTTCCTTGATTATTGCATGTAACCTTTTTGTCATTCTCAAAAAAGCTTTTATATTTCTCAATGTGTGTGTGTTTTAGATCAAATAAAAAAAATTGTTCACTTTTTTCCCAATGTGATGCACTTTAAGGGTTATCAGTTGCACTTTGTGAACTTCGGTCAAACCATGCTAAAAAATGTGGTCGCATTTTTGTAAATAAGTCAATATTTTATGTCATTGTGAAAAATGAAATATAAAATTTAATAGTACATCATAATGTGGGGAAAGTGAATGGTTTACAGTTTTCATGGGATGAATGATTTTTACTTGATATACATAGTTATAGGAGGCAAATCAAATACAAATTGTGCTTATTGTGCAAATGTTTGTATGATGCATCTTTACGTTTTTGAATTGCATATTGAGGTTTAAGGTGTTGTATGTTATTTATCCATAAAATAATAGTTGCATATTAATGTTGAAAGAGTTGTATCCTAAAAAAGGAGGCTTTTATTATTAAAATGTCACTGTGTCTTTATAACCTTTAGATCAACTCATCGAATAGCCAAGATGAGTTTGTAAATTGAGTAGGATTTGTATTGATATCTCTAATATATATAGTCCCGTTCAAGTAGGATTTGTTGTTTTCCAGAGAATTTTTTTTATGAATTTTTTTGAGCATGTACTTCATCAAGTCTAGTTTATGTCAATTAATTTTTCAGTTTAAAACTGCATCACAAAGACAGCTAAATAAATTGTTGTAGACATATTACGCCAAAGTATACATATAGAAGTACAGATACAGAAATGAGAAGAAAATATCATGTGCAAAGATGAGAAGGAATGATACAAAGTGAGAGTATGAATTTGAAGAGACCCACAATGGGAGAGAGAGAGAGGGGATAGAAGAGGAGAAAGGAGAAAAGAAAAATAATCTGGGTAACGTGAGAGCCCATCGAAGAAAGAGAAAATAAAAACAAATTGCCTTAAATAGGAGTGAGTACTTTCGTTAATTCTAAAATAAGATTATCATACTTTTATTTTCTAAATGAGAATAGATATTGTCACGTATGGCATTATGAGATTTTAAATATGAAAATATTTTCCAAACTTGACAATAATTTTGTCAATTTTTAAAATAAAAATATGGAAGTTCTATTTTAGAATTCAAAATATTTTTACTTCTATTTCGAGAAATTTCCTCTAAATTAATTGTAAAAAGAGATTGAATAGGGATTGAAACTCTTATTTTAAGGATTTAAAAGATTTAGTCATTTTTTTTTGCACTTTCTGTGTATTTCTCGTACTCAAGTCAATTACTTTAAATTATAATTCCACTCTATTGTATCGAATCGTGGAAAAGAATCCTTCCTAAATAGTTTGAACTTTGAAGTACTAAATCAAGTCTAAGACAATGTACTTTGAGTGCAAAAAGTTACATTCACTTACCTTGTGTAAGGCTGCCCACAAGTTAGGGGCGGAGCCAGGGCACTGGGTCGGACTGTGCTGATGTGAAGAACGTTTTCGGAATATTTTTTAAATAAAATATAGATACTTTTTACATTAAAAATATAGATATTTTTTAAATTTGGATTAGGCCGGGAAATGGTCCATCATCCCCTAACTATGCCGGCCTACGCCCCCTGCCCACAACGTTCAAGTGAAAAGCCAATTCTAAGCTATTCACGGAAGAGGGAAAGAATGTACGGATGAAGTGCTGGCCGCATGTTACACAAAACAGTGGGATCACTTTTTAATTCCAAGCAAGTATTAATCTATGTTGTAAGAACCGGACCGGGAGGCGACCCGGAAAAGCCATTGGGTCACGGGTCAACCGGGACTCGGGAGGGTCAGCCCGGTCAACGCCGGGTCAACCCGGTCTATGGTTATTGAAAAATAAAATATAAATATACCTAATTATAATTTTGATTAAAGTTGTATGACCAAAAATAATTTTCATTCAAAATTTAAAAATAGTTATAAGATTGAATTAAAACTTGATGTACCAATATATAAAAAATCTCACAAGATTAAAGGTGTATTTGAATGGAAAATATGGGAACATAATACTTTGAATCTATATAAGAATTACAATTATGATGACTAAATATAATGGATATTTCATAAATACGTATTATTTTATTAATACTACTTGTTAAAATGGTTATTATTGTCATTCTGATTTAATAACTTAAATAGTTACGGAAGTATAATCTAAAAACATAAAAATGAAGGGATGCAATCAAAACATAGGTAGTCTAGCTGGTTGGAGTTACGCATGTTGCCCTTGATGACCTGGGTTCGAATCCCCTCAGATTCGAACAGGTTTTGGACGGTCCGGGTTTGTCGCGGGTTATAGCAGTTCGCCGGTTATTTTCGATTTGTTCCATATTTGCGGGTCTCCATTCAACCGGACCGGCACCAGAGCCGGTTGACCGGGTTCCGGGTCGAACCGGCGGGTCCGGTTCGGTTCTTACAACACAGGTATTAATTCAAAATTATTTTAAAGTGTTATAACTTTTTAATTTGTATTTCATTTTTTACAAAAAATATATTAATTTGTATTTCACTATTTTCCATATTAGGGATGGACTCGGGCCGGGCCAATCGGCCCGGAACCGGACCGGCCCGCTACTGTGCGGGCCCGAATCGGCCAAGTGAACCGATTTGTGCCCGGTTCGGGCCACCCGGCCCGGTGGTATAGCGGTCCGGGCCCGGGCCTCCAGTTTCGTGAACCGGCCGGGCCGGGCCCGGTTTGGGCCGGAATTTAATTTTTTTTTTTTGAAATTTTTTTAAGGTTTGGGTTGGATTAGGTATTTTGGGCCATTTGAGGTTGTTTGGGGTGGTTTGGGGGAGGGGTAGGGGGTTAAATAAGAAAAGAAGAAAAAACAAAAAAAAAATAAAAATCCAGGTGGCCCGGCCCGGTCTGGCCCGGAACCGGACCCGGAACCGCCCACCACCGGTTCGGGTTCGGGCCTCATTTTTCTGAACCGAGGCCCGGCCGGGCCCAGGCCCGAACCGGACCCAAACCGGAACCGGTCCACCCCTATTCCATATGACATCAATATTATATACGTAATATATAAATTGACAAAGAAATATGATGTTTCAATTGTTGGGGATTTTGAGACCCAATTTTTTTTTAAATAGATTCAAGTGCTAAAATTAAGATGTCATTATTAATTTTACTTACATCTTTCAATTTTTTTTAAAGATGGATATGGAGTAACACCAAAAAGTAAATTTTCTCAATTTTTTTTATTTTTACATCAAAATGTTTGATTTTCTAAATCATGATTCATTTTCACAAAATTTAATTGAAAAAAATTAAGTAAAATAATAAAAGCAAGGTTTTAATGATACAAAATATTAAATTGACTGAATGAATACATATGAACTAGTGCGAAATTTGATTTACTGACGGGAGTGGATTGTGTTTAGCACTTTAGCTTAAATGCAAGATGTCGACTGAAAATTAAAGTGGGGTCCAAAATAGGGGTGGACTCGGGGCGGGCGGCCCGGCCCGGTCACTGTTTGAACTGGCCCAAACCGGCGGCCCGGCCAAGGACCGGCCCGGGTAGGCCTGCTCCAGTGCTCCCCCCACCAAAAACTAACTATTATAAAGAATGTAAAGACTCAACACCTTTTAGATTTTAGAATGGATTGTCATTGCAGAAGCGCAATGTTACAGATACCAAGTATCATCTGATTGATGTGAATATAAGCAGCAAGCTGCACTAGAGTTTTTTTCTTCTTCTTATGGGCCCATCAAGGCCAGATTAAGCCCGGTCAGGGCCCACCAAAAACTAACTATTATAAAGAATGTAAAGACTCAACACCTTTTAGAATGGATTGTCATTGCAGAAGCGCAATGTTACAGATACCAAGTATCATCTGATTGATGTGAATATAAGCAGCAAGCTGCACTAGAGTTTTTTTCTTCTTCTTATGGGCCCATCAAGGCCAGATTAAGCCCGGTCAGGGGCCACCACCTAGCGCTCTTTCAAACACGTGCTAAATTAAACAGATCATGTGCATCCACCTCTCCTGATGAGATTTATTCTAGCAGTGTGGTAACCTGTTGAATGGGTCTTAATGAAGGATTTCCAATCAGAGTCCATTTCATGCTCTATCTCCCCAATAGAAACTAGCTGAAATTCGCTATACCAACACTTGAGAAATGATTCATTGCTCAATTTCTTGTGCAGCAACTGAAATTCAAGTTAAAAAGTAAAAAACATAAACTACACTCAGAACAGTCCTGCAGCAGAAACACATTCCCATCCATATATATAATATCAAACATAAGGACTAAAAGTAACTACCAAATACCTCTATGCTTCTGCGAGATGAACATATCATGGATAGACTAATACTGTCTTCTCTAGAAACCAGCAAACGAGCCAAGAACGAATCATCTCTTCTAGATGATATAAGCACAAATTTTGGCTGTGCTTTTTTTAAGAATTTATTCAGAGAAGAAAAGGAAACTGCTTGCAGTTTCTCATGCATAATTAGATCCTGTAAACAGCATTTAAATTCAACGATAAATTCTAGATGTTATATGATAACTGTTGGGTGTGTTTCGAAAAACAAAGAAAATTAACTAATAAAAATTAATTAAATAAAATGACTTAAAAAAAACAAGAAATGAGATGAAGCAGAATAAGCCAAAGCTCGTGCTACGCACGATTTCCTTAAAACGTATTCCTTGCCTCCCGGGGTGCTAGGAGCGTTGCAAGAATCGTTTCCCAAGATACGATGACTACGAACAAGCGTTTGAGCACTCAAACGAAAGTTCCAACGAACGTGAACAAAGCTCAGAACACAGAAGAGTTTTTATGGAATGCTAGAGGTGGTTTTTGCTCTGAAAATATGTGTACGAAGTGTATGAACGTGTGTCCTTTGCAAAGCACCTGCTAGCCTATTTATAGGGTGGCTTTGTTGGCTGAACGTTTGCATGTTAATGGCGTTTAATGGAGTTGGCCGTTGGACATCAATGGCCACCATGCTGGTATTGAATCGTCCTAAACGTCCACATGAACGTTGGCATTCAATAGCCAGCTCGTTTGCACTAATCTGTCCAGAAAACGTTCCAGTTCCATGCATTAAGGCATATGAACGTTGGGCAGTTAATGGAGCAAAAAAATAAGAACATTACGGAAGAACAAAAATTAACGTTATCTTTAGAAGATAGATTTTTGGACGGCATTCGTGTGTGCAGGTCGCCCGCACACGCAAGTCGCGCTTTTTGTTCTCCGGTTTCGGGATTTGATCCGCACCCCCCCCCCCCCCCCCCGCGCGTGAGAGAGGCCTTTCCCTTTAGGAATCTTAACTCCTTAGGGGGGGTTTCCCTTTATAAAGGGTTCAAATTCCCTTGTGATTTTCGGTGTGGAAAAAACCCACACTAAAACCCACCTTTTCCTAGTTTTCTCCATTCCAACGGGTAAACTTCGAAAAGCGATTTCTCATTCACCCGTTATCCGTTTTGAGCGTACCATATATCGAATTGTAGCCCTAAGGACAATCCGAAACCACTTTGACCCGACCCAAATCGGAAGTGGACCCCACTCAAAAAGTTGCCCCAAAATGACCATTTAATGCAATTTTAACAAACTTTTTCCAACAATAACAGCAGCAACAACAATACTACACGATATAATAACAGTAATAGTTATATAATTATATTATGAGGATCATGATCATAACCATGATAATGATAATACTAATACTATTACTGATACTAAAGGCTGGCATTGGAGCAAGTTTGAGATTAGGGATAACAAAAGGAGTGTCAACTACACCCTAAAAGTTTAGCATATCGGGCAATATGTGATTCCGTAGTCTAGTCTGATGTGAATTGCTCTTGCTTGGTTTGGTTAAACTTGGTTTTGACGGGTGTGAATTAGTCAGATACTCTGACTTGGCATTATGTAAAGTTTATATATATATATATATATATATATATATATATATAGATTTAGGTTCATGTGAGAACTTAATCTTAGGAGAGGGAAAAAGAATAAATAACAATCGTTAGATTAATCTAGTTTTAGGAAGAATCACGGAAACACTCTTTGGACTAATATGACATTTTACTATGTTTCCTTATTTTACTCACTCATTGCATTCGTATTACTTCTTCCTATTTTAGTGATGCATTTAATTCTCTGTTCTTATCCATTAGGTAGGATTTATCCTTTTAAATTATTATTCTTTTGTTTTATTTCTTTCTTTCTACTTTTTTACGTATTATAATTCTTATAATCCATTAATTAATAGCAATATAAAGTACTATGAGTGCATTTCATTTTCTATTAAATATTGTGCACTTTTAACAACCTTTTATTGCACATGTTTAAACACGTAAGGTCCATCTTCTCGTTTTTAGTTTACTATTTTTTAGCTTGTGTATTTGTGTGAATGCTTCTTTCATGTTTTATGATAGTCATGCACAAATATATGAGATTAATTGCTACATAAACATTTGCATATAAATGCATTTTAATGGAATAACACGTGCATGTCATGAGAGAAAAAGTGCATGTTAATGAGACAAAAAAAATTATTTACAAAAATGTATGATATATTACTTGATGCACTTATATGCTCATCACATTGCATTTCATGAAGGTGCAAAGTCTTAATAATTAACTCCAATTCACTTCAATTACACTTTGATGCATAATTATATCTAAATTCTAAAGGGAACATAGTCCTATGCGAATAACATGTTCATCATTGCACTTTAAAATTCCCGTGGTGCACAATTGTAAATATATTATATTTTAATAGAATAGCATTAAGTAAATTAAACACCAGTGCACTAGTCTATTAGTGCATAAAACTAAAGTGAACGATACAAATTATACATGGGAACGTGAAATTAATTAATCGTAATTATAATTTTGAATTAAAGTGCATTCTATCAACGTTAAAGTGCATATTGACGAAAGTGATTTCATTAAGAAAGGATTTCGTATAAAAAGTAGATTAATTAAACGTAAATAATAGGATGCAAATTGAAAAAAGAAAAGTTTTTATGGATCGGAAATATTTATGGAGATAAGAAATGCTTATCCTATTTCTTAGGAAAACTTCCGAATATAGTGGCACGTGTGAAATCATATTTGAATTTATTTGACATCAATGCCCCTCCTAATTAATGAAATGAGGTCTTTCCTTGTATCATGTACGTTTTTTAATTCACAAATTTGGTCATCCCAGCCGCACGATTGAGAGAATGGAGGGTCCGATCTTGTTCTTTTTTCCTCTCCTAAGAGGGTGCTCTCACCTGAACCGTTCCCTATATATATATATATATATATATATATATATATATATATATATATACACATTTTAATAGCAGTGGAATATACAATATATATTGTACTTATTAAATCTCACACTTTAATTTTATGGAGTATTATTTCAATTGGTTGTAAAAATAAAGGTATATGCACATGCTAATAATAATCTTATAGTTTGTTGGACCAAAAAAAGATAATCATACTGAATAACATACTCCGTATTTATTAATGAATTGGCTTTCACCATAATAAATTTACATAAAAACATAGCAAGCACAAGAGATCGAACAAGAAATATATAAAGTAGACCGGGTCATATCATACCAGTCTAGCTTAGATCAAAGCGGATTTACTACACCAAACTAGACTTGAACTATCATTTATCTTCTCTGTCTTTTAATGATCTTATGTTATTTTTATTTTCTAGCAATCTTTTAATATTTTATTTTTCTTATATTCTTATGTTATTGTTATCTCATATTTATTTATCTTTATCTTATTCGTTTTATTCTTTTTTTCTTCTTGTCTGTCTTCTCTTTTTGGCATCTCTATCAAAGATCGATTCATGTTAGCCGGCCCCAAAATCTTTTGGGATTAAGGCTTGAATGTTGTTGTTATCAAATATAACTAGACTAGACCAAAATAGAAAGAGCTTAAGGGACCATATCATACCAGACCGAAAGAAATCAGGTTAGTGTAGGCCAGACTAGACAAGAAAGTTCTAGTCCAAATGAATAGATCATTGTAATAAGAATACTGAAACATGCTACCTCCGTTCCTAAAAACTTTATCATCTCGTAAAGTTTGGATTGTGATTTTGGTTAATATAGTATTACGGAAGTTATAAATTTTATACTTGTATGAAAGTACTTTTAACAAAGAACATTTCTGTTGTGAACCAAAAAATAGAAAAAATCAACGGGGTAAACCATTGCCCAAATAATCAACGATAAAAATACCGTTGTCCAAAGCCAAAAGGCTAAAACCAATTTTATTCCAAGATGCAAGAATGAACCCCGGCAAGGAGTATAAATACCCTTCTAAGAGAAAATCTAATCGCGCCCAAATTAATTAAATCCTAATTAAGCACATACTAAGGAAGTGTTTGGAATTGATTCTGCTTTTGCTTCTTTTTTAAAAGCAAAAGCAGAATCAGAATTAGTTTTCAGAAGTAGGTCGCCCTCAGCTTCTAAAAAAACTGATTGGGAGTAAATTAGAGCACCAGATTCGCTTCTGCACTTTCACTCACACTCCAACTTCTGCTTCTGCTCCCTGAAGGAGCAGAAATAGTTTTAAGAATCAGATCCAAGCACCCCTTAACTCTACTAAATACTCTACTAATAATAGGCCCAAACTAAAAACATAACATAAACTTTATAATAATAAATAAAACTATAACCCTAGCCCACAACCAGCCCACGGAGGTGAGCCTAAGCCCGTTCCCGCCCCTTGATCTCTTTGCTCTCGATCAGTCCATCTTCCTTCGAAACAACTTTGTCCTCAAGGTTGAAGTTCATAAACCGGCACACATTTGTCCCAGGGGGCTGCCCAGTATCTTTACGAAAATTGAGATGTACTCCTCCACAATCCCTGCCTACTTGCCTCCTGGCGGCTGTTCAAAGCAATTGCCCTTAAACCGTGAGTCAGAACGAGCCACCAATGCCCGTGCAAGCTCATCCTATGACATGCCCGACTTTCGTGCCCGTGACCAGGTCAACCAATATAGGGTTGACCCATCCATTGCAACTACAACAGTTGCCACCTTTCCTGGAGGAGTACAATTCAATTTGAACTGTTGCTCAACCCTATCAACCCAGTTGATCGGTTCTTCTCCGTTAAATGAGGGCATCATTGCGAGAAAGGTGTTGCACAGTCCAATTCCGAACGAGGATGCTGCTGCCGCGTCAATTGAAGCCACCGCCGTTGAATGCTCCTTCGTCGCGGGCGGCACGAGAGCCTTTGTGAGCGCAGCCAAAGAGGAAGTGACGTTGTGCAGCTGTCTGTCGCTGTTGTACGCAGATACAAAGAGGCTGCCAACCGCGTACGGGCTTGTTTCCGTAGTGACTGGCGGAATGATCGCCTTGGTAAGCGCTGATTCTGAGATCTCGTCATCCTAGTGGGACGGGATCCGGCCGGTCGGACCAATTGTTGTGAAACGAAAAATAAAAAAAATCAACGGGTTTATGCTAAATAGACTTCATGCTTTATTGTTGTCCAAATAATCAACGATAAAAGTACCGTTTCACAGAGCCAAAAGTCTAAAACCAATTTTATTCCAAGATGCAAGAATGAACCCCGGAAAGGGGTATAAATACCCTTCTAAGGGAAAACCTAATTGAGCCCAAATTAATTAAATCCTAATTAAGCCCATACTAACTCTACTAAATACGTAACTAATAATAGGCCCAAACTAAAAAACATAACATGAATTTTATAATAATATGTAAAACTATAACCCTAGCCCACAACTAGCCCGTGGAGGTGGGCCCAAGCCATTCCCACCCCTTGATCTCTCTGCTCTCTATCAATTTCCATATTTTTTTATAATATAAAAAGTTTCCGATAAAAATATATAGTTGGTCAAGTTTCAAATATGACAATGTTTTAAGGTATAGAGGCAGTAATATATTACTCCCTCCGTCCCGAAAAGGTTTGACAAATTTCCTTTTATGGATGTCCCGAAAAGATTTGTCATTTCCATTTAAAGTAAGGAAAATGTGGCTAAAGTTAATTCTCTCTTCTGCACAAATTCCAACCACACAGTTTTTACTTTATTAATCCACGTGAAAGTCAACTTTGGCAAACCTTTTCGGGATGGAGGGAGTATATCATGGTGGTCTAGACTGATCCAGTGTGTGAGGGTCAAAATAAGTCCATCTAAACATAGCCAAAGCCTCATAAGTAACAAAATTTTTATTTAACCTGAAAATTTCTTAAGCAGTTCAAAAATACCCCCTTTAGGAAACGGAAGATTATCTTGTTTGGACATGGAGGAACTGAACTTAATCTAGGTTAATGTTTGGACGTTTGGTACATGAATAAAGAGGTGCTTTCACGGCCTCCGCCTGCCATGGCGGAGAAAGCAAGAAGCAGCCCCAGTGGCTGATTAGGGAGAGAAAGTAGGGGCAAGGTGATCAAACAGAACCAGCCTTAAACTCACAGAATCAGAAAAGATTAATTACCAGCGATGGCCGACCAAATAAGTATTGGGCTCAAGTTTTCAGCATTATTAAAGAGGGAGGGATAGACTTCTCACTGCCAACTGCCAACTATGGGTAGTTCAAATATGGCGCCAAATGTAGATCTCATATATTCAACTGATCTTCGTTTGAATACCATTCTATCGTGTGCATTAGATGGACAAGCACCCTTATCACTTACCACCATTGAACCACTCAAAGATGATACAGTAAACCTTGCATGTATAATTATATGCTTCTCAATTTTCTTGTGTGTCAATTAGTGTTACAGAGATGACCAGAACCTCAACAACCTTCTCTATATAGATTAAAATAAAAAAAACTATAACCATAGAATTTAAAAAGTTGTGGGGGTTCCAACTAAGTATGAGCCAGGATGGCGGTTCTTAAAGCAATTGAAAGAATCATCAATTAAAGATAACCCAGTTTGTAAAGTGGATCAGTATCATCTTCTTACACCTGATCATCGAAGAAATCGCAAGAACAGACGGAATATTCTGTTCTTCATTCATCGTCTTCACCAGTAGAAGAATTCTAGCAACTGCCTGAGAGGATACCATTGTTGAAGGCGATAACAGAAGATAAAATGAGATGTAGTAGGAGGCAGTGTGAGCCATAAAAAGAAAAATGTTAGTCGAGTTAAACGATGAAAACAAGGTGTGTTTGAGTCAGAGAAGCTGAAAGTCTTTAACTGTTTTGGGTAAAGGCATAATCTTCCATTTTCGTAAGGTTTTTCTACAGTGCTGAAGGAATGTCAGATTAAATGAATACTTTGTTAGTCAATGAGACTTTTCCCATGATAAAATGAAGACAGAAAATACTCGGCACGATTCTAAAGAGTTATACTCACATGGGTGGCATGCTACTTTTAGAAGAAATAGAATGCTTGTAATATCAGTAAATAAAATTATGCGACTTCAGGTAGAATTGCATGTGAAGTAAGAACTAAATGAGACTTACCTGTTTACCTCTGCACTGTAGAATCAATTTTACATCTTCATAATTTTGTAACTGCCTAAGGAACCCCTTCAGTCCACTCCTGCAAGAACTCTGAAAGCTTTTAACAGAAAACAGCATGTGAATTTCTTCTACCTTGGGAACATTCCAAGAACTGAACCGGTTATTCAAATTACATTCACCCATAGAAAAGAAGTCTAAACTAAGTAAATTTGGGATGTCAAGTTCAGCACCAGGAAAGCTTTCGCGCTCCATCATGACAAGTCTCTTGAGGCATGGACTTGAGATTTGAATTTTGTCAGCTGTTTTACAGTTAGACAAATGCAATTCTTCAATTTGGAGAAGGTTAGATAAAAGATACTGAACAGGGACATAATCAGAAGAGAGGATAGCTTGGTCTAGTTCCAAATGTTTGAGTAGAGTGCAGCTAGCCAAGTCAATGGAACATGAATATGGAATATCACATTTTAACGTTTCAAGACTAGGTACAAAGATCTCAATCATCTCGAGCTCGTCGAAACACCCAATGTGAAAATATTTCAATCTAGGTTTACAAGAAACCGAGAGAAATCTTCTCATGCCTTCACATACTAAAGCTTGCATATACTCCAACTCAGGACAGCCACATAAAATCTTGGATAAGACGTTCTCACCGGCAAACAGGCACTGCATGGTTGTGAGCTTCTGTAGATGTGGAAGATTAGTGCAGGAAAAACTATCGTCAAACTTACACCCCTCAAGCTCTAATACCTTCAGTGAATTAGAGACAAATACTTCCTTCGGAATATTATAGTAAGTGGTTGGAGCAAAATTCATCTCAAACACTAGCTCAGAAACATTCCTCTCAATTGCAGCCCTCAAACACTGATCCATAATGGGGGCCAACTCCTCCAGGTTATCAGCATAAACTTTTAACTGCAACTTATGTATGCAAGCTTTTCGAAGAATGCATTGATCCATGACTGATTTAATGTGATCTATGAAAGAGCGTCGATGTCGTCTACGCTTGTAACTCTCCTCATTTAAAAACAAATCGATGTTAGGGTAATTGAACCAAATGCGACTCCACATCTTAGACAAGACTAAAGTACGGACGATATGCTTGAACGGAAGGAATGACAATATGTGATGAGTAAGTGATTCAGGCAACATCGAAAAGAAATCCGGCAACTCATTCTCAGATCTTCCGATCATGGTTTCCTCTGGTAACAACCGATTAAATGTTCAGGCAACCAACTTGTGGAACAAGTATCAGGTAACACCACACTAAGCGATCACGCATAGAAATACAAAGGAAACAACGGAAAGAAGATTGTGACATACCTGGATCCATGTGAAAGGAAGCCAAATTCCAACGTCAATACCTAGGCTACTGGTAAGAAGTTTTTTTTTATACGTCGGAAAGGAGTAAGCAGTGTGATTGGATCTCGTGTGTACTTATTTGGTGTATTTATAACTGTGATTCTGTGAATTGATCTCAGGTGATTCAGTGTAGATAAAAGTCAAACCAATTAAAATAAAAAAATATCTTAAATTTTGAAAGAATTGTAATTACCTAAATATCACCAAAAATGGTAGGTGATAAACTTAATGAGATAAACGAAAAAGTTAAAATGTGATGTCATTAGGAGCATAAAATGTAGTGGTTAATTATGCAAATCATTAATAAGAGGTAGGGACAAATGTTCAAATAAACCGACATCTTCCTCCGTTGCCCTATTCTTATACATGAACACTAGTCAACTCACCCGTGCTTAGCACAGATAAAATTGTCCATAAAACAATTTAGGACTCGTGGTTAATTATGCAAATCATTGATAAGAGAAAGGGACAATTGTTCAAATAAGTCGACACCTTCCTTTGTTACCCTATTCTTATACATGAACATGTGCATAAGCTCAATTGGGAGCTGAAGTTTGTGATATGTGACGAGGATGTATGCGCTTGATGACAACTTGTGCTTACCTAGTTTTGGGTACAAGGAATTAAATTTGTATTTATTTTTCTTGACTGTTTTATGAACTTACGTGCATAGCTACTTCATTGCATAATAATGTCTTAATTTTGATGTATACCCTTTTTTTCTTAGTTTGCTATTCCAATGACATCTTACTTAAAATTTTATTTCTGACTTTTGTTACTTAGATCATTATTATTTTTTGGAAAAATGAAAACTAATAATCCAACTTTTTAGCCGTATTCTTACAATAATCTCACCTAATCGTAATTCTTAAATAATCCAACATTTACACTCTATCTTCATTCGCTGGTCTCTGACGGGTTGATGATCTGTTATTTCAAGTTTTTTAATTTTCTTTACAAATCATTAAACCACAAATCCCAGCTTCTATAAATCTTCTCAAAACGATCCCATATATAATTTTTATTTTTTCTTCCTAAAAATTTTCTTTCCCTTTTAAGTATTCCTATTTGTTGCAATCTCTTTTTATAATTTTTTTGGGACTACTTGTATATATGTTTTCTTTGAACTTTTTAGTGAAGAGAAAAATATATTATAACTTCAAAATTAATTGCAAAAATATGAGTATAACTTCATTTTTCATTAATAATTAAAACATAAAATTAACAAACATAACTTTATTTATAATAAAAATGTAGAAAATAAATAAATATTAAATAAAATTAGTGAAACTAAAACATAAGAAAAATAAAAAAATATAAAATAAAAAACTTCAAAAGGTAAAATAAAAAATAAAAAAGAGTAAAAAATATCCAGACCTCTGCTGCCTCTTCAACAACCTCCCACCACCACCAGCTCCGACCATCGGAAGAAAAAGCCAACATGTATCAGTAATGTCATCTTCATGACAGTTTTGTGAAAATTTTGGTATTCTCAAAGAGTAAAAATGTCATGTTTATAATATTTTTAGAGAAAAAATTGCAGTGCTTATACACATTTTGCATGTTTACACAAATATTCGGAGTTGGGCATTACTGGGAGGTTGCCGAGGCTGCGGGAAAGGCAACGGGAAAGGCCTCCAATTTTTTTATATGTATTAATGTGTTTTACCTACATTTATTTATTATTAAATTAAAATTTCTTTTCTTTTAATTATTTTTTACTAATATTTATTATTTTATTATTTTTTAAAAATACTTTTGAAGTTTTTATATTTGTCTTACTGTATTTTTATAAATTGAAATACATTTTATATTTTTCATTTTTATTATCATGTAAAATATGATTATCCTATTAAGCTATGGTAAGAGTAGAATAAGAATATAATGTGTACTTTAGTCCTATTTTGAGAAGATAAATACCATAGCCCTATTTATCCATTTAAGGATTACTTTAGTCCTATTTTGGGCTATTTTCCAAAAAACATATTGTTGGGTTAATGGCCCAAGCCGAGGTCCGGCCCATTAACCCCTCCTTACCAGACGCACGTCCAGTCAGGGCACAAGGCTAGCCCGCAGGCCCATGTTCCTTAAGGAAGGACGAGCGTCCGGGGTTTGGGGTTCAGGCCCAACGGCTCCTCTCGACGAGCGTCTATACAGAGACAAGGAGCAGGACCACGGGCTACCAGGGATGACGACGAACGTCTCCGGAGCAGGCCTGTAGTCATCGGAGGAAATCTAGTCCACATGGTGATTATCCATTAAGGGCCAGAAGACGAACAGCCGATATCTCTTGGGGGTCACTTGGAGCAATCCAACTCACTTCCCGGACGGACGGACGTCCCCACTGATTAGGCGGGAAACCTAGATTCTGGCGGGAAGTGCATTTAATGCTGAAGATTGGGTGGTTGGGGCACCAGCGGTCCACAGGCTGCCACGTCAGTATAGCCACCTGCCCATTGGTGGGTATAAATAGAAGCATTTATTTCATTGTAAAGGGTTGGCAACTTGCTATTCTTAGCATTCTAGCTTATTCCTCTTGCTCGCAGCTGAGATTACTGCCTAGCGAGACGAACGGCCGACGTGCCTTTTTTAGTAAGTAGATTGTACTTAGGGGAGTTATTACGGAGTTAATAATACCTATTTACATTGCTTACTATATCTTCTGCTTCCTGATCCATCTGATAGTTGTTGGGCTAGATATTCACATACTCATACACCCACTCCACTCGAAATCTTTGGGCTTACGTGTTGGGTCTGAGGGTTGAAGGAATAAACCTCAACACTGGCGCCGTCTGTGGGAAACTGAACAAAAAGTTTCCAGAAACTCTCCCGAACAGCTACTAAATCTACCTACAGCAAACACGATGTTAGGAAGCAACAACCAGCGCGACCTCTCCGAGCGTCTGGAATCAAGCCGTCGGAATCGCGGCCAGAACTCGGAGCTGTCCGCAACAATAAGGACCTCCGGGGGAAACGGGGGTATCACTGACCTCATTCCCCTGGAGGCCAGGCAGGATCCCCGCCTCATGAGGGAACTTGCTGACACCATGCGCCATTTGGTAGACGAGCGGGAGGCTCAGGAGCAGGTGTACTCTGCAAGCACCCAGCGAACGCCCCTCTCTCCCATCCGCCGTATGCAGTCGTACGATGATACGACAGGGTCCAGCGACCACCGGCCCTCAGTCCATGAGCGGCTAGGTGGAGGTTCAGGCTCCCATGGAACGGGAGGGCGAGCCAATATCAGCACTGCTGCTTTCAGGGCGCACACGCCATCAGTTCCCCGCCAAGTTTCGCGTGGGGACGAAACCCCGAGGATCAACACCGTTGGACGACGTTTCCAGCGGCGAGGGGCACAAATCCTCAGGCGGCCGCACGATGCTGTGGCCGCTCAGCGAAACGCTGCCCTCGAGGTCGTGCCCCCTGTGTCCCCCGGAAGGGCCGCACAGGATGCGAGGCTGGAAATGATGGAGCGGCAGATAGCCGAGATGAACAGGCGGGCGGACGTCGGCTTGGCCACGCCCTCTTTCTCTCTCACATCACCCTTCACCCCCCGGGTGATGAGCGTCGAGATACCCCGGGACTGCAGACCCCCGGGCAACTTGGTGTACAATGGGGCCGGTGATCCCAAGGCCCATCTGATTAGCTACCAAGGGAACCTGTCCATGCTGGGAGCATCGGACGAGGCCATCTGCAGATTGTTCTTCAGCACCCTCAGGGGGCCGGCGCAAGAATGGTTCGGTCAGCTGAGGCCGGGCACCATCGACTCATATGAACAGCTTTCCCGGCAGTTCATGGCCCAATTCGCTGCCAGCACCACCCCCAGGAAGGACGTCACGGCTCTCGCCCACATCAAGCAGGGGCGGGACGAACCGCTGGCTAGGTTCCTGGTAAGGTGGAGGGACGAAGTCCTGCAGGTCGATGATCTGGACGAACGTCTGGCCACAAACATGTTCACCAGTGCCCTGGCCACAGGAGATCTATACCGGGACCTAAGGAGGAACCCCGGCACCAGCTACACCGAGGTTCTGGCACGGGCCCAGAAGTATGCCTCCATCGAGGAGGAGATCAGGCAGCGGGACGGAGTTCCCGCGGCCCAGCCACGGAAGATGGCGGATAGGCTCGGACCCAGACCGGGTCCCGGGCCCTCCCCCCCAAACAAAAAGAAGAAGGCGGACGGGGCGATGGTCCCTTGGAAGGCTCCGTCCGGAGATATTCAGACGCGGCCGGACGACCGCTATGTCCCTTTGGCCTATCCAGTGAGCCAGATTTTTTAGGCCATCAAGGACAAGGGCCTCCTGATGGAACCTCAGGATGTGAAGAAGCATATGGGGCTTGACCAATCGGCCTACTGTGAATACCATCAGAGGGCCGGCCACCTGACGGACAATTGCAGCCAACTAAAGAAAGCAATCGACGAACTGATCCGGCAGGGGTACTTGGGCGAGTTCACCCAGCTGTTGAACAAAAACAGCCAGCAGAAGCCGAACCCAAGGCCTCGGACATGGCGCCGCGACGGCCGGCGCGAGGCAGAGCCCCAGGATGTGGATTATCGAAGTGCGGATAAACATCCGGAGGGGTCCCTCGGCCCGAAGGGCAAAAAGAAGAAGCTGAAGATCAAGGTGATCTTCGGGGGCACTGAGACGGGGGATACACCCGCCGAACGGAAAAAAATTGAGAGGTCACTCTACGTGGGTTCCGTTTCAGCACCCCCCACCAAGCGCAACAAGATCGAGGCAATCACCTTTGGTTCCGCCGATCTGCCGATGTCACCAGCACCGCACAGAGACGAGCTGGTGATCAGCATGGACGTGAACGATGCCATCGTCCGCCGCGTCCTTGTTGATACCGGGAGCAGTGTGAACGTCCTCTACTGGGAGGCTTTCGAGGGAATGAAGCTCAAGAAGGACATGCTGCACCCCCTGCGTACCCCGCTGTCCGGCTTCACCGGGGATTGCATTGACGCTGAGGGCACCATCATCTTGCCAGTAGAGATCGGCGACGGCCCTCAAACCGCCCGGATCGGGATGACGTTCGTCGTGGTCCGCCTGAAATGCGCCCACAACGCCATTTTGGGCCGACCCGGCTTGGA